TCTCAAAAAAAAAAAAAAAAAGCCAATGGTACTTCAAATTTTGCTTCAGTTGTTTTGAATTAGGGGCAGCTGCTAGCAAAGTATCTTTGTGTTATCTTTTCATTGTCTTCTTTCCTTTGACCTATCCCTTTTCCCTCCTTGGTACCAGAGATTTCAAACCTGGCTTCCCTAGCTCTCTCCCACTCTGACTTGTCTTTCTACTCAGGTTTCCCAAGGGATCAACTGTGACCTGAACATTTTCTGACACCCTCCCCCATCACTAAAACCTACTGTTGGAGGCTTACTACATCACAGTCTTACTTGATAAACTGACTTGCAAATCAGTAGTAAGAAGTGGTTTAGGTATTAATAACAGTATGTTCCTACTCTCCCAACGTGAAAATGATCTGGGACCTTTAAAATTTAACTCAAAGAAACAACCACCAACAACCAGCTGGCATTTCAGACACTGAGTGGAATATTCCAGGGAAGGAGAGACTTGTGGTATGAATTAAAAAAAAATAAATAAATAAAAATAAAAAAAAAAAAGAATCCCTCCCAGATAGATGTTCTCTATTCTATCTAATGAACAGAAAGGACTCTACTTTGCATTGACAATGTTTTAAGTTAATAACATTCCCAACAATTTAATTTGCAATACAACATTAGAATATCCTTACTTTAAAATAGTTTTTTGTCTACTCTCCCTAAATACTTTACTCCTCCATTCTGTACACGTGGGCAATGGCCTGAATATAGAATGTTTCTGTAGACAGGTCCTCTGCAGGTACCACCAACAAGGCCCCGAAGACTTCAAAAGTCTTACTCCCTACTACTTCATCAACACTTCTCCCCATGGCTTACAGGCAGCAAAAGAAGCTTCCAGAGCCACTTCATTTCCTGCCAGGAGGCTCACGAGGGAGAAGCTAACCTAATTTACCTTAAAGAGAGAATGCAAGAAAAATGAAAAGGAATTCCTCTCCCATGAATTTGCTCTCTGACAAAACAAAAGTATGGTGCACAGTAATTTTCAACAGTTCCATCACCCAAAGGATAAGGTATCTCAATCTATAACATGAAAAGAGAAAGTATACACTAGGGCTGAGCTGTGTACCCCTCAAATTCTTAAGTTGGACTCTTAACCCTCAATGTGACTATATTTGGAGCTGGATCCTACAAGAAGATAATTAAAGAAGTCATAAACGTAGGGCCCTGATCCAATGGGATTAGTGGCCTCATAAAGATATACAACAAGGAGCTCTCTCTCTTTCGCTCTCTGTCATGTGAGGACACAGCAAGAAGCCCTCCTTCTTTAAGCCAGGAAGAAAGCCTTCACCAGGAAGTGAATTGGCTGGCACCTTGATCCTCAACTTCCCAGCCTACAGAACTATGAAAAATAAAGTTTTGGTGCTTAAGCCACCCAGTCTATGTTATTTTGTTGTAGCAGCCCAAGGAGATTAAGACAATATACATTTTGTTTTTTAAAAAAAACTTCAAATGAAAGCTGACAAATACCTCACACAATGCAATGCTATGATAACAGCAGACAATGCTACAGAGTGACCAGGTGTGACTGTGACACTGTGAAGCCTCAGTTAGGAAGAAGAGACTCCTTGACATACTCTCTCTCGACAAGTATATACTATGATTTAATTACTAAAAAAATTTTTTAAAGTAAAATTCTGTGACAGTTCACTATCAACAACTGGGTGAAATCAGTAGTGATGCAATGTTATGTTGACAAAATTAAAGTAGAGTGGTAGGCTCTATTTCAGAGATGAAGGCAGATATTTTTATTTATTTATTTTTGTAGTAGTAATATTCATAGTTCAATCACTATACACCATTTATATTGTAAAGAGACTTTACCAAGCATGATGTACCTCAGTCCAGCCCAGTTGAGAATACTATACACATCCATCCACCTCAACAGATAATAAAAAGGCAGATTTTGTCAAAATAGAAAATCAGAACAAATTGTAGACCTTCATTAAATGCCTTCAAAAAGTTTGCCTTCCTCTAACGAAGTCTTCAGTCAGTTAGGAGAATATGTTAAAAGTGAGTGTAATTTGCTGCATTCATTGTAGTAACTACTTTATAACAACCTCAGTTCCCTGGAGACCTGGGCTCTGGTACCAGCACTTGGCCAGTCTTATCCACCCATGGGCTTCACACTCCTGATGTGTCTCAGCACACCCAGATCGCTCATAGACTTCCAATTCTGTATCTGGGAGAAACTGACTTTCAGGACAATCCTCGAACATTTCAGCAAGTTGTTTTCCATGCTATTGGTACAATGTAAATTATGGTACCAAACTTAAAATTTTATCCTGCAGACTAGATATTTTTACTACAAATATCTCCTTTTTCAGTGCACTCTGGCAAAAAAAAAAAAAAAAAATGTTAATCTCCTAGCAAGCAATAGGTATGGCCTACAAAGCAAATTCCTTGGTTTGGCAAAATAGTAAGTTTTCTATCTTATCACTCTTGAATAAGAAATTCTAAGGGGGGAAAATTAATTTTTAAGTAAGCTAGTATTATGAAAGAAAAGCAGAGAAATCTCACCTGAGGTGTCAGCTCTACTTCTAATTCACCAGATAGGTACTGTCGTTCAAATTCTGCATTTTCTCCCACGTACGAAGAGACCATGCGTTTTATCTGCTTGGATCGAAGTAAAAGGCCCAAGCCAAAGTTGTCAACCCTAAAGAAAGATGAAGGCAGCTTACAATCAAAGACACTGTTATCATTTTCATTATTTTAAAAAGTGAATCTTACTGATTTAAAAGAAAATAAATCTTCTCTGCTAGATATTTAACCATTATCTCTCAGTCTCCCACGACCCTAAGAGCTTTGCAAAATGGCTGTTCTTTTCTTATTTTATATTTAAGGAAACTAAAGCTCAAAATTAAAGTGATTTTTTTCCCCAAGATTTGCACAGTAAAAGATACAGCCCATATTCAAACTCAGGGTCACTCTTATAATTCTACCCCACACCTTCGTTCTTTCCACTACTCCATAGTGACTTTGGTAAAGCTGGACCGGTGCTCAATGCTCAGTGCTCATCCTGACCTTGGAGGCGCATAAATGTAGCGGCCTCGTGACTTTCCTGACCCATACTGGCCCTGAAGGAAGATCTTAACAGAGAAGCTGCTTCTGCTTAAAAAGAAGAACCAGGCATTTCAGTATTTAAAAGGGTAATCAGCATATTCACTGAAGTGTGGACCCAAAATATAAATAGCTACGAACATTTTCTCTATAACATAGATATTTTGGTCAAGATGAGTTACACACTTAAACATTCTTAACAACAATCAGCAACCTAATCACAAACATGTGAAAAGATTGTAGGTAGCAAGAATAATCCTATATCTGTTAAATGACATTTAATATGGTTTAAGATCTCTACAGTTTTAAGATCTCAATTTATTTATTTATTTATTTTTTAAGAGAGTTTTGCTATAGAGCACATGAGCTTGCTGGAGAGAAAAAGAAAGTGAGAAGTCACCCCATAGGAGGGAATTCCATACCACAATTCCTTCTCCTCTTGGGATTTGGGGCACGTATGCATACACACGTTCCCGTTGTGAGTTTCAAGCAGCCCGAGTCTGGGACTTGACCCATGGTTGGACATATGCGAGTCCAGCACGTAATCATTATGCCATCTACTGGTCCCAATAGCTCATTTTATATTAGAACTGATGTATGTGTGTTGGCTTTTTTACTTCCCCCAATAGGTAAAGGTCTTTAGGTTTGTGTCTATCTTCTTACTTCTATTATCTTTTCGAAAGCAAAATAGACCTAGAATTTTATGCAAAGTCAATGTGATAAGATAGATCAATAATTGAATGAATACTTTTGCATTATCCATCACATTATTCCTCTGTTACTCAAAAGTTTCAAAAATACTTTAATCAACTAGAGAAAACAAAATTATTAAGACAAGAAAGAATATTTGACCTACACTATAAAACCATTTTTAGTTCATTGTTTTATTTCTTTTATGAGGAGACAGAGATCAACAGAGAGAGAGAGAGAGAGAGACTGAAAGAGAGAGAGAGAGATAACCCCCTCAAGCAGGTCTTCATGCCACAACCCACCCCTAGTCTCAGCTGGATAAGATCATGGACATACATGTACACCCAACACACATCATGCCAGGGAGATGAAGGCTGCAAATCCAGGACCTTCCCCATGTTTATTTCCAGTTGCATTACCACTGAGCCACCATCCATCCCCTAATGGTGAAGTACTTTTAATGGTGAAAACTACAATGAGCTATAACTCCACTGCAAACATTACAAACATGAAAAATGGCCAAATAATAAAGAAGGAAATACCAAGTATTGGTAAGGATATGAAACAACTACAACTCTCATACATACAATCTTAGAATCACTTTGGAAAAACTGAGTTGTATCTATTAATGCTGAAGATATCCACGGGACCAGCAGTTAGCGTAATGGCTATGTCACTGGACTTCCACGTCGTCGACTGCAGTTTGAGTCCCAGACCCGGTGGCTTAAACTCACGCCGGGTGCATTTGCCTGCGTGCCCAAGATCCTGAGAGGAGAATGGAGGAGAAGGGATTGTGGGGTGGCCATCCCCCCTGGGGGTGATTTCTCGCTTTCTGTCTCTCTGTCTGTCTCTGTCTGTCTGGTGAGCGCACACACCTTATAGCAAAAAACCTCTTCAAAAATAAAAAAAAAAAAATGCTGAAGATATCCATATGGTATAAGTCAGCACTTTTACTCTCAACAAACATACTTATTATGTTAATCAAAAGACAGCATATATTGGGGCCAGCAGGTGGCTTGGTGATTAAAGTGCTTAACTCTCACATGCCCAAGCACAGTTCAAATTCCATGCCTGGCGGCTTGAAAATCATGCCAGGTGCATGTATGTGCATGCCCAAAATCCCAAGATGATAATGGAAGAGAAAGGACTGTGGTGTGGCCATTCCCCAACTAGGGGATGATTTCTCACTTTCCCTTCTCTTTCTCTCTCTTGCAAATGTATGCGTTCTATGGTAAAAATCTAAAAAAAAAGTATATGAACATTCATTAAGCAGCATTATTCATTATGGCCAAACAATGGAGCTTCTAAATGCCCATCGACAACTGAACAAATGAATAAATTGTAGTGTATCCACACAATAAACTATAATCCAGAAAAGAGAGTGAATGTTCTATAGCCACCATGAATGGATCTTTTGTTGAGCAAAAGAAGCCAGGTACAAAAGACAGACACACGGTGAATTATTCCTTTTATATGAAGTTCGAAATCACAATGTGAATCTGTGAGATCCTAAGTGAGGATGTCAGGTACCTGAATAGTGGGAGAGAACAGAGACTAGGAGGAGCTAGTCTGGGGTATAGTCATGTTCTGTGTCTTTATCTGGGTGTTGGTTATACGAGTATACAGCTTATAAAACTCCATCAAACTGTACACTTATGATATGTTCATGTTTCTATAGTAGGCTTCAATAAAGGTTCTTAAAAAGCAGAAACAGGCAGCAGGTGGCACACACGTTAAGGAGACTGGATCCCACATGGCCAACTGTACAGCTTGAATCCTGGACTCAGCAGCTTGAAAAATATGTCAGGAGGGACTAGCAGATGGCACAATGCTTATGTTGCTGGACTCCCACATAGTAGACAGATGTTCGAATCCCAGACACATAGCTTAAAACTCACACTGGGAACATGTGCATGTGTGCCCAAAATCCCAAGAGGAAAATGGAGAAGAAGGGATTGTGGTGTGGCCATCACCCCTGGGGGGTGATTTCTCGCTTTCTCTCTCTCTGTCTCTCCAGCAAGCACATGTGCCCTACAGCAAAAAATATCTCTAAAGAGAGAGAGAGAGAGAGAACAAAAGAAAAATGTATCAGGAGCATGTGCAGATATAACCAAAAAAGAGGAGAAGAAATTGTGGCATGGTCATCCCCCCAGGGGGTGATTTCTCACTTTCTCTTTCTCTCTCTCTCTCTCTCTCTCTAGCAAGTGCACATGCCCTATAGCAAAACACACACACACACATACAAGCATGGAAATGTCAGGACAAAGGCCAGACCACCTCCTAGAAACAGAAGTCTTTGTCTAAGATCTCTCCCTCCTAATTCCTTTAATGCTCTGATAACTCCTTCCCTATGGAGCTGGTATTTACATACTTTCTTCATCCCATAACCTCTTACAGAGTTCTTTCTATGCTCCAGGACTGGTACGTCAGGCTCCGGGACTATAATTTTGAATAAGGTCTAGTCCTGGGCCCTGGAGAGCTCTGAGATTATTGAGGAAATAAACACATAAACCTATAAATACAACACAGGGAGAGACATGCTAAGGGAGTCTGCTTGAAGTGTGATGAGAACACTGAACATCAAGAATCCAAGTGTTAGGAGAAAAAAAGAAGATAAAGGTCTCACATAAGGAAAAGTTATGTAGAAAGTGGCACTTAAATGGACATTTAAAAACAAAGAAACAAAATACATTTGAGAATACAGTTGTGGATGGAGGAGTCCAAGGAAATAGGGGGACGGGCAGCTTTGTGAAGAGACACTCAGGATGACACTCGTTGCGTGTGTCTGAAATGGGGACTGAAAGCAAAAGTGCGGCAGGAGGGGACAAGGCAGGCCAGGTTGTCCTCTCACACAACTTCATACTGAAGAATATGGAGCCCCCATGAATAATTTTAAGCAGAAGAATGGCAGGGTATATGATTAACTGTAGACTCCGAAGTGAAAGGCAGAGTGACCACTAGGAGGCCTGACACCGTCCCGACGAGTGAAGCGTCTGAGCTGAGGCACTGGCAATGGGAATGAAGATAAGGAATAAATCAAGGAATACGTCCCTGGGAGAAATATTCTACTCATACAACTTGATGCCCATCCTGACATAGACCAAAACCCGCTCTAGAACTCTGGTTTTGGCGATATAATGGAATATCGGGTTTGGGGGAGGAGGAATTAATCTGATGATCACCAGTGACATCCATGGCCCTTTGTGTGACAAATCATTGACATTTCTTCTATTAATCATTTTTTCTCCTCCCAGTTTCACTCTTCTCCACCCTCATACTCCTCACACACAAAAGTGGCCATTCCAACTCAACTAACTCCTTCTCAACTCTTTGACTGTATTATTTTCAAGCCTCTTACCCCCGCCCTATATACTTGGTAAAGTGGTCTGGGTCACAAATAACTGCCCACCTTCTGCTAATTTGTTCTAGAGCCTAGCCTTCAAATACTGACTGATAACATTTCCCACCCACCATGGGTTTAAAAGAAATAAATGTGGGGTTAGCAGATGGTGTAGCGGTTACATCGCTGGCCTCCCATGGTTTTAGTCCCAGACCCAGTGACTTGGAAATCATGCCATGCGCACATGTGTGTGTATGCCCCATGATCCCAGGAGGAGAATGGAGGAGAAGGGATTGTGACATGGTCACCCCACCCTGAGGGGTGATATCTCACTTCCCCTCTCACTGTTTCTGTCTCTCTCTCCAGCAAGCACACACACCCTAAGGCAAAAATCTATAAAAAAGGAAAAAAGAAAAAGAAATAAATGCACGATTTATTATCACTTGTTTCGAGAGAAAACTAAAGGCTAAATGAGTATGTTCAAGAGAGGAAGACCAAGAATTCCACACAGGTTAATAATACTATTGTCCACTAGGGGTCTCCAGGTCACTACAGATTCCCCATCT